ATTAATCTTTCAAAAGCAGAATATGTTTGTCTGGTTTTGTTTCAGAAAAGTCTACCTACCAACTTTACTGTAAAAATAATTGATTCAAAAATGTCAGTTACAGGATCAGGAATGATTACTGTAAATCAAAATAATTTATTTCTATTTTTTTAATGTAACAGTTATTTTTTTTAAACCACTTTCATCCACTATTTTGCTAATTTCTAAGATAGTGTGATTTTGGTAAACATGATTTTGGAGAATGTAATTTTTATTAACTCCCATCTTCTTCTAAGTTTTTTGAATGCCCAGCAATTCCTATTAACACAATACAGTGAAAAATAGAAAAAATAAATAAAAAAACCAACCAGATTATTAACCGGAATAATAATTGGATGAGGCTTAAGTATTGCAAAGAACACTGTATTATTATACCATACATTTTAATTTCTTAGAGACAAGTTTACATTCCTCAATGGTCTCCTTTTTTTATTCAAGATCTGTAATTACATTCACTGAAGTAGTTTAGTACCAGGCACAGCAGGTCTTTCAGAATTAGGGACTTCCAGCTGTAATTATCACCGCAATTACGGGAGATTTTTTTAAGTGAGGAAAAAGAACAAAACTCTTCCTATGCCTTACATAGGATACATGGGTTTGATTTAACCATAAACTAAAAGAAACCTCAAACACATCTTTCAAATCTAATTCATGATGAATAATGATTAAACTAGCACTATGTCATAGGACAACTTACAGTTTTCTGCTGCTGATGTGTAAGAAATTTTGGCATAAAACTGAACTTGTAAGTGCAACCTCAAAGTTTAAATATTTGGAGGGCCAAATTCTCTTCTCTGATATGTTATTCTAAATCTGAAGTAGATATGCTCAGGAGGCTAATTTGTACATACCCATAAACTCAGAGCAATATTTATCTTCATTCCTTCATGCTTGAAAAATGACTACTCAAAATGTTTTAAAATGTCTTGTTAGTCTCCCAGGACAAAAGGGAAATTTCAGACCCCTAACGCTTGTAGGTTCAGACAGCTCCTTTCTCCACTGTGGTGGGCAATATGTAAGGAAAGAATAGTCAGAGCAGATATTTTTATTTCTCAAGATTCTTTAAATCTAATTACATGGAAGCTATTCTGGTTTTGAGGAAAATGTTTGGATAAATGTAACAAAGAAAATCAAAGAAGAATGACAAACTATTCTAGTTCCCCTGACGTGACATCCAAAAATAACCTGAAGCTGAATCTTCTCTTTGTGAAAATACGTTTTCTTCATAAAAAAAGCTGACCACAGTTATGCACCAGAAGCAGGGGGTAGTTATAAAAAAGATTACCCATTGAAGAGCTTTCATCACTAGGATTAAAAAACTTTAAGACACTTCTTAGTGAAAAATATAAAATCACACTCAAGCATAAGAACTTCATGGAAATCAGGCAAGTAAGGGATGTTATGACAGAAATTTTAATCCTACTGGATATAATAATTGTAAGGAACAACTTGTATTTTTAGTCACATCCCACCAGGAATCCTAGAAAATATGAAGATTGCTTTTTGGTTAGTTGGAATTTCTTCTAAAGGTACTGTTCAGAGTAAGTGCTCATTCTCATTAATCAGGTCACCAAGAAAAACAGGGACAGATCTGTGTGAGGTAAGACTTTTGAACATGTAGGGATAAAAGAGATAAGAAGTTAAGACAGCTAAAGTGTTGGTGAAACTGTTATTTCCATTGCCTATGTAAGTGTCATGGGTCATACAAGAACCATGACACAAATTTTCTAAGGGTTAAGAAGCACATGACATGGAATATAACCCTGGTTATTAAGGGGCAAGAATGACCTAACGAGTCCTTTGCTGGCAGGTCACAGCATCACACTGTCCCACACAGCTGAGCAGGTTTAAGTGTCCACTCTATTCAAGGCTTGCCACTTTGCTCTGTGACAAAATCACACAAAGTAGAGCACAACTCTTATTCCCATGGCATAGCTCTAGCCAAGGAACGGTCCATGAACCACCTGCAAGCCACATCCAGATAGGGTAGCACAGAACAAAACCACTCTTGCTTTCATATCCCCTTTACGCATCTGAACTGAGTGGTACATGTACAATGTCTGGCAAGTAAGTGTTTCACTCTTCTTTTCCTGCCTCATCAAATACGCCCTGTGGGTGCTGTAGTTTTCCATTATGGCCTGAGCTAAATGAGCAGGACCCCGTCAATCTAAGGAGGAGGTCCCATCCTCTCTCAAACCTCACCCCTGGATATGTGCTGTAGCCACTTGCCCTGTGCTGCCCCTAGAATTCACCCAGTGGTACTCCAGGTCAGCTGTCTCACTATACAAATAATTAACCAAGTTCCTGAATGAAACAAAAGAAAGATAAGTGTGGAGGTGTAGCTCAGTGAGTGGCTAGACTAAAGCTGGAGAGAGTCCTGAGAGTGAGTGAATGAGAGAACAGAAGAGGAAGCGCATTTAATTTCTCCTACTATTCAACTCATTGATAATACAGAGTAGCATCCTCAGAAAGAAAAAAAAAAAAAAAAAAAAAAAAAAAAAAAAAAAGGAAAAGAGAAAACACACAGAAATTATTTGTCTTGCATTCTCTATTCTGTATACAGCACTATTCCAGATGCTTTTTGTTTCAAACAAAAGAAATAATTAGCTGCTCAATTGTCTTTTAAATCAGACACTTGGGTTTGATTTTCAGCAGCTACAGACAATCAAAATACATAAGTCCAGTTTCAAATGCTTGGCTGACTACTCAACTGAATGCAACAACTTTCCTGTCTGAGGCTAAGATAAGCCATTCTGTTCAGCTGATGATCAGGTGCTACCAGCTGGAGTAAAAAGCTTCCATTAATGTGTTGGTGACAGGAGTTATAAAAAAGAGTTAATTACTTGTAAGAAAAACCTTGTCACAGTCCTCTATCCCAAAAAACAAGTACATACCATCATGACAGGTACTAATTTTTGTCCTTGGTATTGGTAACAAAAAATGAGATGAATATAAAAATGGGACTGTTATTTAAACTGTAGAATGCTCTTTCCAGGCTGGAGAGACAGCTGCCTTTGTGGCTGCCCTAGGACACTGTACCTATGTCAGGGATAACTGGAGAATTTCTCTAAGGATCTTCATCTGTTCCTTTTGTGTACAACATAGTTACTGAAAGTAACAACTAACAGAAAACACTATCTTACTGTGTATAATATTGATGGGTTTAAGAAAACTCCCCTTCAAAGTTGCATAAATATTATGAAATATTTCTACTTTCTATAGTTAAATAGAATTATTTAGTTAAGAGCAAACACCTCAAATGGGAGAGGCTGTTGTCCAAAACAGAATTTTTTTCCTCAAACCACCTGATAATAGTAATTTGTGCAATAATTATTGCAAAGTATAAACCTGTGACTAATTCTCAGGTTTATACTACTTTGTATTTCATTCTCTTGAAAAGAAGAATGTAATACTTCATGTACTCTGCCTTGAAAAACCATTTTACATTTTTTCTTGGGCTGTGGTCTTGTTCACAGCACATAAAGAATTCAAGCCACAGCAAATAAACAGTTATGACCAGTCACGCTGATAACCTGCAGCATCTTCTCCAGTCAGCACACAAATCTGCAGCCGTCTGGTTTGGGCTGGCTTTCCATAACTACCAGAGACTTTGTGGTCTGAAAAAGCAAGAATATCTGGAAGCTCACTGGGACATTCACCCCCTTACAGATGTATGGTTCAATACTTGGAGCAGATCAGGCTAAGAAGCTTCCATGGCCAGAGCATTGTTTACTTGTTGATGGATAAATTTTATCCCAGTTTCCTTAGAACGTGCAGCAATCTCCCTGCGCAAGTGCCACCCTACCAATCAATTATTCACCTATTAACTTCTCCATTTGTCACCCAACTTCAAGTTTTTCGAAAATGGAGCTTCCTTTCATTTAAAACAGGCTACTGAACAGAAAAGAATAAGTCTACCAGTGAGACTTGAGGAGGGCTGCATCTCAGCTTCACCTATTACCAGCCATCAGCCACAAGGGCGCTCTCCAGGGACACAAATCCCTAAGAAACCAAACTTCCTTGGGTTTCCTCAGTTAGGTTTTTCTCCAGCAAGGTCTGTGGCAGACAACAAGAGAAAAATATTAATGGGCCACAGGCAGGGACAGTCACTAGATTCTCCTTTTTTGCGGCACTGCACCATCCTAACTCACACAGACCCCTCAGGCAGCTCTGCTCCAGGAGGAGATGCTTTTGCATGGCTCTACATCAAGCCTAGAAGTGTCAGTCTCCTGGCCAAGGACACTGTGACTATCACCAGGCAGCTGTGCTTGGTCCTGAACTGTCCCTGCTGTCCCTGCCAGGCCTGGCCCGTGTCAGTGTTGCAGTGCTCCCTGACCCAGTTTGAGCGTCCTCTGAAAGGTGAAATAAGCCCCATGCCCATCTCGGTCTGGACCTTCTGCACCTGCCCTGCAAAACTAGAGAAGTGCATCACACGGGAACCAGCAAAGTTGGAGAGGAAGTTTAAAGGAGTGTGTCTAGAGAGCTGTCGCTCAGATCGGTCATTTATCCTCTGTGCAGATCAGAGCAGCCGTCCTAAGACTAGGGAGAAATGGGGCTCCCCCAGTGCTGTGCTGCAGTATAGGGAAGTTGGAAGGCTGGCTCTGAGGGGCTGTATATCAATGGTGGTCGCAGCTGACCTCCCGGCCGAAGGTGCCGAAGTCCCAGTGACCCTCTCCTCCCTTCCGACTCGGATACCCCCACAGCTCCAGCCGGGGAGCGGGGCTGGGCTGTGCTGCCCTCAGCGGGGCTCGAACTCAGCAAAGGCAGAGCCCCCGCCGTGGCAGCCCCGGGGCGATGGGAGAGCATCCCCCGACCCGCTTTCCTCTCGCCCGCTCCCTCCCGCAGCGGGATGCGCCGGCAAAGGAGCCGTCGGGCTCGGCCGCCGGAGGGAGCGGCAGGGACGGGATGCGGAGGGGCTGCACCCCCGGGCACCCTGCGCGGGGCAGCGCGGCTTCTCTTACCTCCGTGCCGGGCGGCGGCGAAGAGCCGGGGGGGCGGCGGGGCGGCGGCGGCGGCGCGGGGGTCTGTCGGAGGGGCACTGCCGCCGCTGTAGCGCCGGGAGATCACCCGGTCCCTCCGCGGCGGGCGGGGCGGCAGCGGGCGGCCGTCGTCGCCCAGGGCTTGGAGGAGGATGTCGAGGAGCGCCCCCCGCTCGGCTCCGGCGGCGGGCACGTCCCTGCCCTCGGCGCCCGGCGGCGGCGGGGCCGAGGCCAGCAGCAGGAGCACGATGGCGGGCAGCGCCTGGCGCTTCTTCGCCCCTCGCATCTCTGCGGCGCTGGGAGGAGGCAGAGAGGGAAGGCGGTCAGCGCCGGGCCCGGCCCGCACCCCAGCCGCCCGCCCCCCATGCCGCGCCCCGGGGCACGAATATGTNNNGGCCGCCACCCGCTGGCCCCGCCGGCCCCCGTGCGGTGCCGCCGCGCTCGCCCGGCTCCACGGAGGCTGCGTTTAATAGACACGGATTAGAGGAAGGTTTTTAACCGCGCCGCACATGTTCGCCGTACAGGGTTTCGCGGGGGATTTGCTCGGCTCCCTTTGGCCCTGGAGTCCCAGGGCCCGCGGGTGCCTCCGGGTTCTGCCGGCCGAGCGGGGCGGCGCGGGAGCCCCGCGGTGGGCCAGCCTTGTCCAGCCGCCCCGGCGGTGCCACGCCGGGAGTTCGGAGAGCGAGCACGGACGCCTGTCGGATGGAGTTCACTGAGGGGCAGGTTACATTGGAAGTGCCGCACATCAGGGTAGAAAGGGCGAAAACAATTACCACAGGCTGGGGCTTCGAGAGCAGCACTTAATGCCCTAAGCTATTCTAATTATAGAGAACGGGTAGGATTAAGAGGGAGGGAGGGAAATTCTGTTGTTTGCAAACTGTTTTCTAGCTGGCCTGCCTTGCAAATCCTCTTGGGCGAAGGAGTTAATCGGAGCCTCAAGGGAGCCGGCTTTCCCCGACGGCTCGGGCTCTCCCTCTCTCCCTGCCGTGCCGGGGCGCACGGCAAACCCGGGGAGTAACCGGGGAGCGACCCGCGGTTCGCTGCCGGGGCAGCGACACCTCCTCGTTGCACGCCAAGATCCCCCGCGGAGAGCCGGCTGGCGGCCGCTTACCTTCAGGCAGAGGCGAGTCCGGCTGGGTGCGTGCGGGCTGGGGAGCGAGGTGCCGTGCCGCCGTCGCAGAGCCCGTGTCCCCGCGGAGGCTCCGCCGGGCGCGGAGTGGGGCGCTCGGTGCTGCGCCCGGAGATGGGGGATGCGCCCTTCAGGGCCATGCGCTTCTCTTATATAGTCCACACCGGCGTACTCATTTGAGTACTATCGACTTTAGGTGGGTGGCAGTCGATGGAGACACCTCTGGTAATCACTCTTGGGCTCAGAGAGGGTCTTTTCTGACAAACTTCCTCCTCCCCGTTTGTCCCCCGGTGGATGGCAACTGAAAGCTGCGTTTGAAGTGACTCTGATCTATTTGTGAAATTAGATTTCCCTGAAGATTGGGGAACGCTTACTAATAAAGCTGCCGGCTCAAGAGATTAAAATGTGCTTTAACTTAGCGGGATTCCCTTGGGAGTACAGCAAGGAAACTATTTAATTCCCCCCTTTTTTTATTGAACCAAGAAGCCGCGAGCAAAGTCTGAAGTGGGTATAAATTTGGTTCTATTTTGATGTCAAGGAAAGTGGTAGTCTGTCTTTGGCCGGTGAATTCACAAACCGTGAACCTCATAAAAGTTTGTTTCTTCAAAACAGCTCTTTTAATTTTTGACAATGACACTTAATTAAAAGCTCACAAAAAAAGATAGTGACCTAACAAAACCATTAAACCCACAGGTTAAAAAACTTGCCTCCTAAAGCCCTAAATAGATCCGCCAAAAATTAGCAAATAAAATCTCAACTTTCAGAGAGCAATTGTATGCAGGTGGTCTTGACAGATTGAAAAGCAATACACATTTTTCAAATTATGCTAGACAATATTTTATGTTGGTATTTTTGTTGCAAGTATAACTCTTTGTCATAAGTTACCACTTAGATATTTACTTAATAAGAGTGGGACAAAAAGAAAAAAAATTTGAGATATCCTGTAAGATGTGAAAATGGGGAATTTAGATTTGAAGGATATTTAAACTATTCTGAATCTGTCTGGCACACAACATTTCCCTACAAACTTTGTCTCTTTCCCCAAGCTCCTTCATCCATACCTTTCTCTGGCTGTCTCAGGCAGCACACACTCTGAGCTGTATCTCACAGGGGCTGTGTCACTGCTGGTGATGGGAACCAGCTTCTTTCCCACATCATCCTCTGCTGGGGCCATCCTCACTCACCTTTGGGGGTGTGATCCCACACAGATCGGAGATCAAGCCATGTTTAACTAATAAAGGCTTACAAAGGGTTTTATCACACTAAATTTTTTTAGAGGTGAGTGTACTATGCTAGGTACACTGGTCTGACAAGTGGATTCCCAGGATAACTGAAGCGAGGTGCCACTCTCTTTCTTGCTAGGTGATTTCCTGCTTTGCATCATTATTGGGTGCATATAAGTTTACTTTTGTCAAGCTGATGATTAAGTTCAGTGAAGAGGGAAAGGAAAGCACTAATCAGCTGAGAAATAAAAGTAGCATATTAAATTAACCAGCTGCAAAATAAATCCAAAATTTTCTCTCCATCTGCTCATTTGTTTCTATTATTTTATTATTCTTTTATTTTGCCCTCAGAGACATATATTGACACCACAGAATGGGACTGAGTTTTTCTATGGAACCTACCGAGATATTGACTTGACTGGAGCTCCTCTGCCCAACTTCATTACTAGTTATGGACGAGATTTATATCTTCTAGCCCTGGAAGCAGGTCACATGGGAAGGAAATCCATGTGGCACTCTTAAGACAGAATAATTTTGCTGCTCATAAAAACCCCAAAGTCTTTATTGGATGTCTGTTTGAGGCAGATGGCAGAATACTCATAAGGATTAAAAGCAGTATTGCAAAAGGCAAGAAAATAGTCCCTCTATTCTCACCCACATCCCCAGAGAAGACCTAGGGAGTCTGCAGACTAGCATGGCTGACTATGTAATCTTGATGGACAGCATCCTGGGGCTGCCAGTTTGGGAAATTTCTAACCCCTTCAACAAAGATTCTCAAATATGTCACCTCCACACAGTGGGTTCCTAGGATAAAAATGCTGCTACAAATACTAAGGACATTAAATTTGGTTCTTTAACTTGCATGTTGATTATTTAGGGAACCCAGCTAGGCCCTTTACTGTTATGAGCTACCCAGTTTTATCCTTGTCCTTTGGGGCTACTGTAACTTGTTTCTCTCCTTTGGAAGAGCTGCATCCTTCTTTCCTTGGGTGGACATTATACTCACCCAGGGGAAAATGAACTGGTTTATAATTAGTTTTAAGTTAGACACATTAAACAGGTAGGTTACTTAATTTCTTACCCTCTTTTTATGTTATCTTTTGATATTTTCAAAAGAATAATCAAGAAGTCAAGAAAACAAGAGAGTGGGTATCCCTGCAGAGCAGCTTGAGAGGCAGATCTATCAGCCCTTGAAGTTACTGCAAAGATTTTCATTCATTTCTGTAGGAGTTAGGACAAGACTTAAAATGAAAAGAACCAATTAGAACCATAGCACATCTAAATCACAAGTTTTAAGCAGCTTTTTCAGATTCTTTCTATGCTCAAGAACCTTAAAGTCTTGTGTAAAAACAAAAAAAACCCAAAAAGATTTGTTTTCCATTATTGAGCAAAGCCTTGTCTCCTTTTAAGTTGTTTGGATATTTGAATTCATCAGAGAGCAGTTGAAAGAAGGAGGACCAGACTGCATCCAGAGGATGATGTTTTACTAATCCTAGGCAATTCTGGCAGGAAGAAACCCCATTCTCATTGGCCCTTTTGTCAGTAGCTCTAGTGTTTCTCCTCATCATTATATGGAGAAAGAATCTCAGCATGAGATTTACATCAAAGAGACCATCTTAATGCTTCACTCACTATTTTATTTAGGAACAGAAAACCTGTTAGTAGTGAGCCTAAATCAGTCTGGTTATTTGCTTCCTGTGTAGCTAACAGATTTAAACAGGTACTTCACATTATTTTTCCTGCGACATGTTCTTTTTATTTTCTGGTGTGCCTTACCCACAAGTATGTCTGATTGAAGTTAAGAGCAAACTAGTTATGTTGAAGTATCATAGGGCTGACAGAGACTCAGAGAGATGATCTAGTGCTTTCCCTTGCTCGAGGCAGAGACAACTGTATCTATGTCATCAGGGCTCAGCAAAAAAAAACTTTTAATTTCTCCCGTTAAGCTCAACACTTCATCACAAATCCATTAAATGAAAAATTGCTAAATGTGGGTTTGGAAGTGACATTTTACCTTCGGATTTACACTGAAATAAAAATTATCTAAATGTATTCCCAAAGCACACACTCAAATAAAAGACAGGCTAAAGTGGTTTAAAATTTAGGTGTCTTGCTGTCTCTACATAAATCTATCAGCCAAAGATTTCCATGGCCACTCATCTAAATCAAGAAGAAAAACAGAGAAAACCTGCTTCTGTTGAAGTTCATGGGAATTTTCCTGTTGACTTTGTTGAGCAGGGATTTAATGCAGGGTTGTTACTGAAGGAGAGGTGAAGAAGTGAGAAATCACCTCAAAAATATTAATGTATTAGCCAAGGTAGTAAACTATAGATGGCTGTTGTAATTTCTGATAAGTAACAGAGAATTCCAGCTGTTTTCAGATCACAGCATTTCCTTAAAATCAGAGTTTTTACACAACCATATACATATGTGCCTGTTGAGACTCAGTGATGAGGACTTGATCAGATGGCCTTTTGAATACTTTTTGCACTCCTTTGTTTCTATGAGTCTATAGGGTTTTTGCAAGTGGCTTTTAAGGCACAGGTCATGCTAATGAGCTATCTGATGGGAAGGCCATACAGCTAAAGAAGCAAAACAGTGTCACTAAAAAAATGTGAGAATCAGTGTGCTGTATTTATACCTTAAATGAAAACTTAGTGCATCTCATAACTTGGTGTTATTTTTTGAACATTTTTTGTAGAAGTAGCACAGCAGAGAATTGTGGTGTGTTGTTAATAGAACTTTAGATAGCTTCCAGGGGTTATCCCGTACAATAAAGATCATCATCTTTCTCATTAGAGGATAACATATGTTTTATTATTACAAACATATCTAAGCATTTTTAATTACAAAGCTGCAATGATCTTTACTGGTCGTATCATTAAGAAATTCTACAATTAAGTAACTTTTAAGGTTTGGGGGGAATTTTGCACC